CTGAAGTCAACTAAAGGGTTAATGATAACTATCAAAATGTCAGCCATTTGATGTAAATAAATAGGTCACCAAGATTTAGATGAGACAGACGGGTATTGATTAATTTGAAAGCAATGAGAAGTGAAGGGAGGAATCAAGGAGAGTGGGGGAGTGGAAGGAGTCAGTACTGAGCAAAAAAGCAAGCCGGATTATGAGGAACAGACGAAATGAAGCAATGGTAAGAGGAATGACCTATTGCGCGTTCCTTCTTCATTGATGAAGAATGGATAGTTAGGGGAAGAGAATGAGTCAATAGATGTGTAATACCTAGGTTGAGCAGACCTGAGTCTGGATATTTTCAATTACTGTACTTTCTTCCACTTTTCATAATCTATCGAAACCTTTGATGAGAATTGTTATTTTTCTTTCTGGTGTTTAGGCTTAGGTCAAGAAGAGCTGACTAGAATATGGTTAGCCTTACGCCACCTCAGAAAAGTGCTCGGAGATGATGTCAGTAAACTGCGTTTTTGGGGGAAAATTTTCGGTCTGAATTCCAGCTACTACATTATCGAGGCAGAATTTCAGTCCGAGACAGATCCAAGTCCAAATATCCCTGGGCCCTGGGATGATTGGCGTTTTTCAAAGTCAGGCCCCAAATGGCCTGATCCCCAATCGTTTTTTTGTAATATTGGAAAACTGATTAGGCTTAAACGATCTTAATTAACTCGGCTTTGATTCTATCTTTATTGGTAATATAGACATGATAAAGAATCGTAGGGAACGAGACACGCCTGATTCTCTGATGACGGATTTGCCAAAAGTCGTTTACGAGCCTCCAATAAGGTACCCCCCTGAATCAAGAGGCACGGGGTTGAACAAATGGGATTACTATGTCTCCTCAAGCCTCGGTGAGGGTGATTGGGTTCGTTTACCGAGTGTCAGACCCGAGCAAATTGTTGCCGCAAGGAATTTGGTCTGCTTATTTACAGGCGATCTCAACAGAAATTTGAAGGATTTCGCCTTCCCTGGTCTCGAAGTTCACTATTTGAGAGCGCAAATTGCTCGTATTTCCTCAGGAACGCATATTTCTCCCTCGGGGGTCTTTGAGATAGATGAAGAATTACTTGAAGAAGGAGTAAGTACTTTATACCAAAAACTAATAATGTATGGTTTTTGCGCAACTCTCAAAGTCATAAGCTGAGCTAGAGCATACACAATGGCTTAAGTGGAGAATTTGAAATGATCTTTAATTCAAATAACGCTAGAGATCCTTGCAAATGACAGACAGGGAAATAGTAGTTCACTCTTTTTTTAATTTTCAACTACACCAAAATTATTAAACTTTCTCTGTTCAGTGTTATTCATTCGCTTTGTAAGGTCCTAGTACACTGGTTTATAAAGGCTTTAGAAGGCTAAATAATCTCGATGACTTGAACAAAATTGACCTTACCTTGTGTGCATGTCGGAGCTTTTTGACATGATCCTACGAGAAGTATTGTTTATAATTTACACATGCATAAAAATATTAGTTTTTCTTTATTAATGGGAGTCGTCGCATAAGGTATTATCACTTTCCTGCTATAATGTACAACAGTGGACACTTGGTAACATCTCAACGAAAGCTAATGCACTAGGAATTATGTACAACACCGCGGGCGACTATAGAGCGAACTCTTTCCACATTGTCAACATGTGTCAATTAAAATTTATCTATTTATTTATATCAAATGGCAGGCATTTTGATAGTTATCATAAGCCCTTTAGTTGACTTCAGGCTTCACAGAGGGGAGGAACATCAAAGTGAGAAAAATTTGAGAGGGAGCAGAGGAGAGATCCAAAGATGTAAAAGAGACAGACAGACAGACAGACAGACACAAAGACAGGGAAAAAAGAGAGATGAGTACTGTGGAAGTGGCCATTGTAGCTTGAGGTCAAAAGTCAACTGTCGATTTGTAGACTTTTTTTGCTGTATGTGTAGACGTTGCCCTGAGTGCACCACGTGGAGGTAAGTCAATTACGCATCCCCAGATTAATAACTACCTCATCCCAGGCTCACTTGATCATCGATCAATGGATTTTTGTGCTCGCATGCAGATATGCACTTGCACTTCGGTTATTGGCTAACCAAGTCCATCATGATCATCCATTCTCCATCTACACGAATTTCTACGAGCAACTTTTGTTTATTCTTCCCTGCAGGTCTTCTATCGTTTTGGCCTCGGGATTTGAGTGATTATTGAATTATAAAATATCGATTTTCCGATTGGTGACTGGTTTAGCGGCGAACGCCTAAATCTGCTACTTTAGAATGACTTAAACGCTCCATGAATTTATTATATTTCAAGACTATATTTTACTCAGTTGAACTTTCAGTTTATCTAAATTTACGACAGATCATTATATGCTATTCTAGACGAACCAAGCTGTACATCTGTTTACGTGCAGGGTTATATTTGACTAAATAACTAGGCTCGCTAAGCACGTAGCGCAATAATTCCTAAGAAATCGTGCCTCCGTATTCGAATTTGAATTGGTGTGTTTTATAACAGACTGCAGCTTTTATTATGAGTCGATTTTGAAAAAAAAGTACTATTATTGTCGGGTATTATTATATGGAATGAAATAGGAGAAAAGCTTGCATTATTTTCAAATTACAACATTGATAAGAATTGGAACTTCTACTTACGGTTTAGAAACTGAACATGTGGGGTTGCAAGATTGACTAATGATTAATTTAATAATGGAAAGGGGAGTTGAATGGGAGTATGGAATGACGCTGAAATATTTATTTATTTATATCAAATGGCAGGCGTCTTGATGGTTATCATTAGCCCTTTAGTTGACTTCAGACTTCACAGAGGGGAAGGAACATCAAATTGAAAAAAAGTCGAGAGGGAGGGGGGAACAGAAGAGTGTTTCAAAGATGTAAGAGACAAACACAAAAGTAGAAAAAAGGTGAGATGAGTGCTGTGGAAGCAGTCGTATATGATATACAGTGAGG